CTGTTAGGGTCCATGTAAAGGCTGTAAAATACTATTGATTTTAAGAAACTTTTTTGCCTATGAATGTTTTGCCTTTGTGTATGTACGTGTGCTATGTGCATGCAGTGCCTTCAAAGGCCAGAAGAGGGTGTCAGATCCCCTGGAACTGGAGTTACAGAAGGTTGTTAGCTGCCATGTGGGTGCTGAGAACCTAATCCTAGTTCTCTGCAAGAACAGCCAGTGCTCTAAGCAGCTGAGCCATCTCAATTGCCCAAAGATACTACTGATTTTTAAGGCCTCGTCCCATGAAGTCAGCATCTCTGAGGGCTGAAAACTGAGAATCTCTGTTAAGAATATAAAATGTTTAATTCCCTAGTGGATCCTGATAAGTTGTCAGTCTTGGGAGTGACTAAACTATGTCACCTAAGTATTTCCTTTCAGCTTTATGATTTAATCATTCTTAGAACACTGAAAAATGCCTTCTTTTACAAACATGAAAATTATTTAGTCTACACAGTGAATTTTATACAAACATACATAGGTGGCTGTAACTGCCTACAAACTGACTTTTTCCAACGTGTTAAAAACTCTTCTTGCATTACAGGAAATGAGAACTTTCTTATGTATCATGTGAAAGGATAACTTTATCTGGCCCATTTCCCAATTATGAAAGTTCTGAATCCCTGAGCTATAAATAAATGGGACTTTACCACATTTAGAACACGTGTATGATGAAAAATTTGTTTACACCAGGAGGCTTTAGGTCATTCTTCAATCATTCATCCCCTGAACCAAAGTAGGTGTGCAGGAGAGTGCGTACACCCAAATGTGACACATGGCAAATGTTGGGCAATTACTGAGCTGGAACGAAGGAGACCTTCAAATCCCATCACTTTTTTAACCTTATATTTTTGGATGCAAGGATCTGGGAATTGAAAGGTATCCAAATAATATCATTTGCATGACCTGTTCTAGCTTTTTAAAAATCTCTCTCATTTCTTTTCTTTCAAATACATTACTTTGACCTGATGATGCAGAAAGGGGAATGAAGTATTTTTAAAATAATAAAAGCTAGAAAGTGAACATATTAATGAAGATTAAATCAGCACCCTTCGTAAAGAGCTTCTAAAAATATACCATCTTGCCCTATGAAGGCATTTTAACTATTGCAGTAAGCCAGCATTTGTAGATTTTGCCTAATCTAAAATGAAGCCTGAATGTTCTACTGGAATTAATCATGAAAAAAAAAAACTCATTGAAACTCTCTTCTGCTCAGTCAGATTCCTCTAATTTTAGTTTTGCGATTCACAAGGTATCTTTTTCATTCAGGGTGTTTGCAAGTTGAAGTTCACACCCATTAAGCAAACAGCACGATAATCAGGGTTCAGGATCCAATCCACTGTCCTTATTCTCTGCCAGTATTGCCTCTGTCACTATCATAGTTGTGTATTGTAAAAGAATGAAAGCCTTTCCAAGGGAATTAGTCACGTGTTACTTTCCAGGAGTAATTGAATAGCTGACATTGTGTTTTTATCAAAGTAGAATGTGTGATGGTTTTTCTCATCTGTTTTATTCTTCAGCAATATTTAATGAGGGTAATCTTGATTAGGTCTCTTTATTTGGATCCAGAAAGTTTCATAGTTGTATGTAACGCAACTATATTGTATGCAATACGTGTTTCCTTATAGCGGCTACGGGAGCTTTCTTACCCGTCTGTCACATGCAGTTAGATCTACTGCTCTGGGCTGTTTTGAGAGTCAACATGCTTTCACAAATGCTGAGAAAACCACTCAGATGTGTATCATTACTTTGTGTGTTCTTTCTTCTGTGTGGTGCAACTTCTCACACACTTTACCCTATTTTTGTTTTCATGTGGTTCATAAAGCAGAGGGGTTTTATTTGGTTTGGCTTTTCATTTGTATTGGTTTATATTAATTGTACAACATGTTGGGTTTCATATAGATCATTTCTTTCCAGTATATCATGTACTTTGGCAAAGTGGAGATTTAAACTTGACTTAGAATTTAAAAGCTTGATACTAAGTTGGACAGTTGTGTTACATAAACTTCAAAAGTGAATTGGCAGTAAAAGAATAACCATGCAAAATACTTGAAATGTGTCTTTTACATGCTCTAAAAAAGTTCTGCATCATGTACTCAAAGCCCTGCCCTTTGGTTGAAAACGCTCAACCAATGTGGGTCAATAGGATTCCCTTTTCTGCCCTGTAATTCTTCACTGTTTCCTATGGAGACTGGATGGGCTGGGGATTTTTCTTACATTTGTGGAGTCTTTCAATGCTACTGGCTAGCTAGCCCTTCAGTCACATCCTTGTTAGCAAGGTTGAGGGCTGTGGCCATTTGCCAATGCTCAGTACCCCTGTGTTGAAAGTTGTGCTCTTAGAGAACACATGGACACAACAACACAAAGACTCCAGACCCTCTTCTCAACCTGAAAGACAAACTATCTCCATCAGTGAGAAAAGTCACTAGCAAAACTGTCCCAGGGAGGGTGGCATTATCCACAAGTAAGATGAGCTTACAAACATGTCTGAGCCATGCATTTCTCTCTTTGGGTCATCTATCAAACACATTTTAAAGCAGTATTGCTTTTCCACAAGCGCCATTACCCAGCACTCTTTCCTCCATGACTATTCTGTGGACACTGGTATATCTTTACCAATCTGTGCTCCAACAGCATGCACATGTCGACAGCCACAAAATCATGACTTTGACTGACCTCCAGAGGCCAACTTTAGCAACCTGAAAAGACCATTTGCTTTTTTTATCTTGGCTTCTCTCCCACAAATGCAATCTTGATTATTTAGACCTCAACAGTTTCAAAAGAATAAACATAAAAACATCTATATACCAATTCTGTGACTATGTGCTTACAGAGTTATAGGGCCCTGAACTATGTGTGTATTACTTCCAAATTAAAAAAAAAAAAAAAAAAGACTAAAAAAGAAAAAAACGGGGGGCTGGGGAGATGCCTGGGTGGTTAAGAGCCAAAAAAAAAAAAAAAAAGACTAAAAAGGAAGAAGACGTGGGGCTGGAGAGATAGCTCGGTGGTTAAGAGCACTGACTGCCCTCACAGAGGACTCAGGTTCAAATCCCAGCACCCACATGGTGACTAACAACCATAAGTAATTCCAGTTCCAGAAGATCCAACACCCTCTCTGACCTTCAGGGGCATTGCATGACATGGGTACACTTACATTCATGCAGGCTAAATACTCATACACATAAAATTAAAATAAATAATTTTTTGAAAGAAACAATGCTTAATGCACTGACAATTCTTAGCCTGCTCACAAACCTACTCATCAGCAAACACTCAACATAGGGAGATCTTTGCTATTGTATTCAATTTTTGTTTGCTAGCTAGTGGTCAGGAAGGCATCAGGGTGCAGTTCAAGTGTGCATTAAATTTAAAGAAGTTGGATCTGTTTGTTTCTTTCTCTTTTCATTCATCTATACCAAAATGAACGCTGCACGCTGCTAATTACATGGCTATTCCTCTATCAGGACATCGCCCTCTATCGGTGGCTCTGTAGCGTAGCTTCTCCAGAAGGTACTGTTCCTATTGAGGCATTTGCAAAGCATCCAATGATACCAGAGTTTCGTTAAAGGAATTCTCTCACTCCCTTCCTTCATACGGAAATGTCATTAACCGTATTAAATTAACTCTCTAAGTGTTAGGTTCTTAACCAACACACAGGCTGCTCCACGGGGCCCATTTTGCCAGGCATCCTTGAATCAGAACGGACTAGATGTGCCGTCATAGATTCAGAGTCACGCTATGGGTTGTGATCAGATATAAGAGAAACTCTTTTGTATTTATTGACTTTTCCCTTCAATCATGGTTGTTCCATTTCTTCCACCACCACCTTGAGCCTTTCAGGTAAATGAAAAGTTCAATTATATGTAAAGTGACTGTTAAATCAGCAGGCCCCTTGTGGGGGTCTGGGCTTCCTCTCTCTGCTTCAATGGCAAGTGTGCTCAATCCATTACTGTTCCTGAGGATTGTACATCCATCAGGTCGTGTAGGCCGGCCAGGGTGCATCTTATAGCTTTTACTGCATATGAGACGTCGCAGGCCTGTTCTCAGGAACTGCCAGGCAGACTGGGAATCACAGTCACGGTTAATAGCAGCGAATTGCCAGCTCTTGATGGGTGGGTAGTCACTCCTTTCAGTGGTTGCCCCCTGGGGGGGAAGGTAGAAAAACAGAGGGAGGGAATTAGAGTGACTTTGCACAGTTGAGCGGGTTCATGCCGCTGGATCAGTGGCAAGCACTGGCAGAGCTCCACTCTGGGGAGACTTGCAACGATATCACAGTCTCATTTTTACCAATTGGTGCTGTTGTATCACCAGTGGTGCACAGGGGGAGAGCAGAGGGGAGGGCGAGCCAGAGTGGGGGAATGGGGGTGGAGGCAGAAGTCTAAGTTAAATTAAACAAACAAACAAAACAAAAATGCATGTTCCTACCTACTCAGAGACCCACCCCAGTTAGCCCAGCCTTGCTACTAATCACTCCAAACTGGTATTTGAAGTTCCCTGGGTGATTAAAGGTTTGACTCCCAAACTCTCTGTATAACCTTAATTTTTTCAAGGTTCTTTGACTGGAGAATGGCTTATAATAATGATTTTGACTAATACGATTTTTGACATGCAACTTTAATGCTTAACCTTAGTACAACTCCGGAACATTCATGTGTACTCAGCTGTAAAGAGTGATGATTTAAAGGGATAATATAAGGAAAAGACCGTTCTAGAATGAACCTCTAATAAATTGCATAAAGGGAGCTTTATTATTCCACGGGTACAGGGATATGCAGCTTTTCTGATCATTTCTCTGCTTGGTTCAAAAAAAATTGTTGAGGTATGAATGGAAGAAGAAACAGGGACAAATGAAATCGAAATCTGCAAGCAAGGAACATTCTTTTGATGGTTATGATTTCGTTGCCACTGAAAAGACTCTACAATAATGTGGTTATTCATCTCCTCTTTTGTTTTGGGTGAAGAATTCGCTCTAACAAGAAAATGCTGCTCTTGGTTGGAGGGTTGCCTCCCGGACCGGACCGGCTCCCTAGCAATCTGGTTCAGTATTACGACGATGAAAAGAAGACGTGGAAAATACTCACAAGTAAGTGCTCTTAGTTATCTACTCGCCTGTTTATTTCAGGTTGGAATTGTCTTGACGAATTCAAAAACCACGGTTAATCAAATCAGACACTGTATTGATCTGTTAGCCTTTGGAGATTTGTTTCTATATAATGGAAGATTTAGAGTAAAAGACTAAATTAACATTGCTGAGGTGGCCAATTTCGTAGTCAAATAGGCCTAAATTAAAACTGGTCTGGTTTATGTTCTTGTATGTGTTAAAATGGATGGGGGTAGGGCAGGGGGAGCAGATATTGCCCCCTAGAAATACTTCAGTCAGAGATTTTTGTTGTTGTTGTTGTTGATACAGAAGTTGAAAGGTTGCTTAACAGCATTAGTAAGTTTTCTCACGTCAAAATGGCACTTTTGTTCATTATCTCTCTTCCTAACATCCATTTGCCTCCTTGCCCCACCTTCAGTCTGGGGACCCAGGTCTTTCCAGAAAGGCCCTCTTTAGGCTTCTCCCAAGCTGGAGGAATGAATATTTTCATAGCTTACCCAGCTGCATAAAATTGTGCTTGCAAACTTCCAACCAAGACTCTCCTCCTCCTCTCCTTAAAGGGTGATTGTGTTTTACAGCAAAATTCTTGCCTTGGGCACTGAGATTTGGAACTTATTGTTATATCGGTTATGATTCCCAATCTGACTCAGTCATGGAATCAAATATCATAGTTTCTTGAGCGCAGTAGGCTGTGTGCACCAGTCCCCTCATGGGCACGATGGCTGCACTGGTCAATAAAACTAAATTTTAACTGTCAAAATTGCCCAGAGCTGTATAGATAAAATAATAAATGAGAAATTTTGATCCATAAATCAAAGCCATACATTTAAAACCAACAAAAGTGAAGTTAGATTTTCTTATCTTGTGTGTCTTTGACGCAGTTATATATTTTACCAGATTGTTTTTGTAAAATCATTTCCTTAGAAAACCCTATAAAACAATAGAAACACAAAAGTGCATCAGCAAGGGCAGACAAGGAGCAAAGACATGTGAGGTGGTGCTTGAAATCGTATATTTAGGAGCTGGCCCACCCCAGATCCCTACAGTAGCATTGTCCAGGAACTGCATCGAGAGAGGTCCCTGGACACCACTATCCTACAGTTGTAGTAAGGAAGTGTAGAACAGAAACAGCGAGATTAAGGAGGAAGGAGAAAGAAGAAAATAGTGTGAGAGACCTCTTAGATGTTTTTTAATCTCTTTTGGATAGAAACACCATTTATCACAGTTTAACATCTTGGTAAGAAAACCAGCTGTACTTTAAAGATGCATCATAAATGAAAGCTAGAGTAAAATCAAAGAAGCAATGTTTTGACACCACGTAATCAATAGAGAAAGCCTTCACAGAATGACATGGGAAGACTCAAAGGTCAGAGAAAAAAGGACTAAAGCCTGCCAGAGAGAAAAACATAAAGTAACAGACAACAAGATTTTAGGCCCCATTAATAAAAGATACTCATTCATGGACCCACCCATTTTCCAAAAACTTCAAGCTACATCCAGCTGGTATTTATTTGAGGCCCTCTAGTAAACGGAGAACTGTGAACAGTTGTCAGTGAAGGTTTTATATTCATTTCTTTACATTTGTTTA